GATGCTTCTCATAAGACTCGTGCTCTAGGCCCTTCACCAGCTCTGTTGCCCTTCCCTGAATTCACCCCAGCACCTCAATGTCTTTCCTGTATTGAGGTGCCCAAAACTGAGCACAGTACCCGAGGTGCAGTGTCACCAGTGCTGAGTACAGGGGGATAACCACTTCCCTAGTCTTGCTGGCCACCCTACTTGTGATACAAGCCAGGATGCCGTTGGTCTTCTTGGCCACCTGGGCACCCTGCTGGCTGTCAGCCAGCACCTGCAGGTCCTTTTCCTCTGGGCAGCTTTCCAGCCACTCCTCCCCAAGCCTGCAGCACTGCCTGGGGTTGCTGTGACCCAGGTGTAGAACCCGGCACTTGGCTGTGTTGAACCTCATACAATGGTCTCGGCCCGTTGATCCAGCCTGTCCAGATCCCTCTGCAGAGCTTTCCTACCCTCAGACAGATCAACAGTCCCACTCAGCTTAGTGTCATCTGCAAACTTACTAAGGGTGCACTCAAACCCCTCATCCAGATCACTGATAAAGACATTAAAAACTACTGGCCCCAGCACTGAGCCCTGGGGAACACGACTTGTGACCAGCTACCAGCTGGATTTCACTCCATTCACCACAACTCTTTGGGCCTGGCCAAAGAGCCAGTTTTTCACCCAGCAAAGTGTACACCAGTCCAAGTCATATTTAGCCAGTTTCTCCAGGAGAGTGCTGTGTGACATGTTCTCAAAGGCTTTACTAAGGTCCAGGTAAACGACATCCACAGCCCTTCCTTCATCCACTAAATAGGTCCCCCTGTCATAGAAGGAGATTAGGTTCATCAAGCAAGAAATGCCTTTCATAAAGCCATGCTGGCTGGGCCTGATCACTTGGTTATCCTGTGTGTGCTGCATAATGGCACTCAAGGTAATCTGTTCCATAATCTTCTCCAGTGCCCTTCCTGTAGATGAGGGACCACATTTGCCAATCTGCAGTCCCTGTGCACACTCACATCTGTGGCCCTGCTTAGTAGGAGGCTGGGTGATATAATTTGCAGTGCAAATGTAATTCATTAGGTCTAGGAAGAAAAGAGGACACGTAATAAATTTGATGGAAATAATGGAGTTTTGAAGGTCTGACATGAATCACAAATTACATGAAATTTGTTCAACAGAAATGGGTAGCTCAGAGTAGTTGAGATGTTTCATTTGACTTTTTCTTTGTGCACATGCTTCCATTATATTCTTCCTGAAAGGAGACCTTCATTTCATTCTCATCTTTTTAAAGGAATAATAGAGTTAAATAACCTGAAAGTTAGATGAACTTTTTTATCACAAGCCAGGTGTTGCAAAATGAGAGAAGCAGGATTTTCTTTCTTTACAGCTGTTAATAATATCTCTGAACATGGGTACTTTATCAAACTCAGATATCCTTCAGCTGAAGATACCCTTAGCACCACAGGGTTCTATGGGCCAAACTGAGCCAAGCCAGCAGAGGTCCTACAAATGACAAAGGCTAGTTATTATCAAGAGAAAACCAAAGGCTCTGACCTATAACAGTCCCCTGAACAGGCAAACAGCACACTGCACCTTCTGCACTGTGTGGCCTCAAGGCTGCAAAGCTGATGAAAATAGTTTTCCAGCAGAAAGGAAGGAAAGATGGGGAGATACTTTTCACCAAAGAGGGTAGTGATAGGACAAAGGGTAATGATTTTAAACTGAAGGAGGGGAGATTAAGGTTAGACATCAGGAAGAAATTCTTCACCATGAGAGTAGTGAGGCACTGGAATAGGTTGCCCAGGTAGGCTGTGGATGACCCCTCTCTGGAGGTGTTCAAGGCCAGGTTGGATGGGGCTTGTGCAGCCTGGGCTAATGTGAGGTGTCCCTGCTCATAGCAGGGAGGTTGGAACCTGATGATCTTTAAGGTCCCTTCCAACCTTAACCATTCTAGGATTCTATGAACTACAGCTCTCTGCACAAGCATCTGTAAGATTTCCACCAACTGTCAGCATGTCTGGCTCTTCAGGGAGAAGCAGGAAAACTTCTAAGCCAAGAGATGAGTGATCCAATCCCCTGAACATTTAACTTATGTGATTAAACAGTTGAGGCTGACACTCTGAAGGTTTATTTATCCTTTGATGAAGCAGCCAATTAAGCATGTGATGCTTCTGCAGGCTGTTGGGGAGGTGTCACTCCCAGCCTGCCTTGGCTGCTGATATTTGGTGGCAACAAAAGGAATTAATAATGTGTTCTTTGAAAAGCCTTGGTAATTCGGTGATTCTGTGAAATACATAAAAGCAAATCCAAGAGGACCTGAAACCAAGGAAGAATGGACCTCCGCCACTACTTTTGGACTACTCCATGCCAAGACCTCAGGATAACTACTGTGAACACCCAGTTTCTCCATATGACTCCAACTGAAGTCCCAGTCAACAGACCCAGAGGTGGAAGGGTGAATGTGACACCTACAGAAAGGGATTGACAGTGAGAAGCTTTTGCAAGCAATGTTAACCATTTCATTGATAAGGCTTTTCTGTCTGAAAATAGGTAAAACCCATTAAAACAAGTGGAAGTATAATGAATAAGAATAAGAATAAGAATAAGAATAAGAATAAGAATAAGAATAAGAATACCTTGTTGTGACATTTTGATTAGTAGATTCTTATGAAGGACTAGAAATAACCTCAATTCAGGCAACACTGCCTTGTGCATCCTTACAGGTGGCAGGCAGGGAGAAAAAAATGGCACTGCTTCCTCCATTCTAGCCTCTGCCAATTTAAAAAAAATCTTTCCAAAACCCCACTGCCTCTTCTTCCACCCCTCACAGTACAATGGCAGGGTCTGAGCTTTAGTTACCCATGATGGCTAATAGTAATATGATGGCTAATAATAATTTGCAAGAGCAAAACTTCACATAAGGTACCATCTGAAATCCCCCTCCAGAGACAGTGTTATTTTAGTACACAGAGGGTTTCTGCCTTGGAAGCCACTGGTACCTGTGCTGGGCTCTGCTGTGCAAGGTGAAGTCAAGAGCTTAAGAGAATCAAGTAATCAGAAGACATCCTTAGACATTCTTAATACTCAGAATGATTTGGGTTTGGTGCATTGTGGAGGGCTTGCCCACTTTTTATGGTACTTTGTAATAATAAAAAGAACATATCAGTAAAAATAGTAATAAAAATGGAACATATCAGCAAAACTGACCTATAATAAATATTAAACTCATTAAGAACAAAACACGTTATTAAAGCCAAGTTACTTATGAGATCAACCCAAATTAGTGAATTAAGTGTTGTCTCAGATCTCCAAATCCTCCAAAAAAATGGCAGCTGGTAATCAAATCCAAAAGGGGACAATTTCCTCCATTTCCTGCTCTGGTCCTGGTCTTCAGATGGGTGTGAGAAGATTCTTTCCCCCTGCTCTGATGATGGCCTCAGAGTACAGCCTTAGCCTTGACCACGTGTTGAGCCCTTTGGGTCTTAAGCAAGAGAAGACACCCATATCAGACATAAAACAAACTCGGTTATTAAGGACTGAAAACAAAAGGTTTCCTTCAATCTCACTGTATTTTTTTTTTCTCCTCAAATCAAAGAGTACCTGAAACAATCATTGGTGTGTCTACTCTTCTCGAAGCTTTCTTCCCCAAACCAGGAACTTAGGGCTGAGATGCAGCTGATGCCAGGACATCCCTCAATACAAACTTTCAGGAGCTGTTCAAGTAGCTATTTTGCTTTGAGGGAATTAAGTGATACAGCCTTCTACTCCCCCAAGCAGGTGTCGAAGAGAGCAGGACCTTCCAGCAAAGCACTCTGGGGACTCCAAAAAAGCAAATACTTTTCCCAAATGACCATGGGAGACCTCAGAGGGGATGTCCTGGCTCCCCCAGACACTTCCCTGGTAGTACCACAGCCAGTGCTACCAAGAGCCCCTTGTCCCTTGCTCAACATCATGTGTTCACTCATATACTACCTTATTAAACCCTGGCTGGCTGTTAGCAGAAAATTAGGAATTTAGCCATGCCTGACCTGGACACACCTAGGATCATTCCCAGGACTCTGAGCCAAGCAGTCCCAGTCAATTTTTGTTTCTTCACAAATTTTTCCATTTGACAGAAGACAGTCTGCAGTTTTCCCAGTCTCACCTCAGGCAGGGCTCTGTCATTCTCACGGGGAAGAAACAAGCTCTTAACTGATGGCACAATATCCCAGGAGCAAGAAAGCAAGCAGCAAGCAAATAAAAAATGATCCTGATTTTAATTTCTTCTGCACGATGATCCCAATTATACCATATATCACATCATTTGCATTGCCATAGCACAGCCTTTTATATCGCTCGAGTTGCGAGCCATTTAATTTCAGCCTACCTTTAAAAAAAGGCTTGTAGAAAATGAGACACTTGCTTTATGCTGATGCAGTTGAGAGCTAATTTCAATTCCGAAGCAAACAAGACGTATGCAAGTTAATAGCCCAAGGGGTTCAGGAGTAAGGCTCATGTTATTTTGTTTTAATAATCCATGGGACAATCCCAGGTATTTACATAAACTAAGTCCTCCAAATCTCATCAAATTTTCAGGCAATAATTTCCTAGGGGGAAGGACATTTACTGCTAATTTCTGAAGTGTGCATATGGCTTTTGCTGGCTTTGTATGCGGTCCTGAAACATATTTGGGGCAGCACAATGACAGTTTCCCACCTGGTGCTTATTTGCCTGGATTAAATGCCACTGACATCAACACAGGTGGTGCAAGTGTCTGCAGAGTCAATGGTTTACTCCCCCCACTGCAGTGTCTGTCTGTAGAAGAAGCTGGTATTCAGTAGCTCCAGCATTTACAAGCAATGCAGTGACATGTGTCAGCAGCTGTTCTTGGGAAAAATATGCAAAGTCCTCCAAAAGTGTAATAGACTACATTTCAGCTGGGCCAGAGATCTGAAGAATCACTAAATTAACTTAATCCATCATTAATATATTATAACTCCTGCCGTTTATTGATCGTGCTGGAGGTGCATCCAGCTTCTGCCTCTTTTCCTAAGGCAACGTACTGAAAACCAGCCAGCTGGTTTCACCAACAGAAGGGAATATTTTCTTATGCAAGAAGCTAGTTCTCCTGAGGAGCTCACCACAATCAGCTATCAGAGATCCCATTTTGGTGAGGCCACCAAGGTGAGGAGCACCAGAGTGAATGATGGTGCTGCTGGACCCCTCCTGCAGCGGCTGAACCGTGAGGAAACCCTCAGCAAAACCGAGGGAGAGAAGGCACGAGAGAGAGGGAAACGGAGAGAGGGGGAGTGAGCCAGTCCCAGCCCCTGTCCCTGGATGGGCAGTGAGAGCTGCTGGGGAGCAGCAGCTCTGATTCGCCGTGGGCAGAGGCAAAGGGCCTGACCCCCTCAGGTAGAAGCAGCCCCTGGGGAGCGCGGCGACCAGGAGCAGCAAACAGAGCGTGGCACAACAGAAGGGCCTGGCGCGGCAGTGCCCGCAGGCAGGGCACACGGAGCAGGGCACTGGCCCCTCTTGGCTCAGGGTAAGGACTCGGCTAGGGATCATCCTCCCCCCTGAAGAGGACCTAGCCAGGTTATCCACTCGGGCAAAACCCGTTGCCAGGAGGACAGTGGCAGCCCAGACAGAGGTGCCTCTCTCTCAAGAACACAGCTGTCCAGGGCTCTGGCTGCACAGAATGTCTCAGCCTGGCAGTCGTATGGGAGGAGAGCAGAGGGAACACCTGTGTGTGCTGTGAGCAGGTGAATGATTCACTCAGCCCAGTGGCTGAGCTGAAAGAGGAGGTGGAAAGATTATGGAGTGTCCGGGATTGTGAAAGAGACATAGATTGGTGGAGTAATACCCTGCCAGCCTTGAGGCAAAGCCTCAAGGTGGAGGCTTCACAAGAAGTAGAGGATCCTCTGCCTTCCTGTCACCTGGCAGAGGAAAGGGACCTGAGAGAAGACAGGAACTGGAAGCAGGTCCCTGCTCCAGGCAATAGGTGAACCCAAGGAACTGGAAGCAGGTCCCTGCTCCAGGCAAGAGGTGAACCCACTCCTGGCTTCCCTCACCTTCAGGTGTGCCCTTGCAGAGCAGGTATATGGGCCTGGATCAGGAAAATCAGGTACCTGAGGTTACTGACAAAGGTCTGTCCAGGGAGTGCCCCGTGCGTTAGGACTGCCTCTGCTAAGAGCAAGAGGAAGGTCATTGTTGTAGGAAATTCTCTTGTGAGGGGAACTGAAGGCTCTACATGCCGGCCAGACCCAGCCCTCAGGGAGTTCTGCTGCCCTCCTGGGGCCCGGGTTAGCCATGTTACTGAAAAACTCCCAGGGCTGGTGCAGGTGGGCACTGATGAGGTTGCCAAGGCAAGTCCCAGGGCGATGAAAAGGGATTTCAGAGAAATGCTTGCAGGATCAGGAGCACAGGTGGTCTTTTCCTCAGTTCCTCCAGTGGCAGGAAAAGCTGGAAGGACTAGGAAAACACAGATGATTAATGAATGGCTTAGAGGCTGGTGCCATCAGGTGAACTTTGGGGTTTTCAATCCTGGAGATGTTTACAGGGCACCAGGTCTGCTAGCAAACAATGGCAAAGAACTGTCAACAAGGGGGAAAAGGATTCTTGGCCAGGAGTTAGCAGGGCTCATTGAGAGAGCTTTAAACTAGACTTGAAGGGGGTAGGGGATAAAACTCCTGGATGGTTTGATTCCCAGGACACCAGGCCTGCTGGCATTGGATGGGAAGACCCTGTCCTGCAGGGGAAAAAGGCTCCTAGGGCAGGAGTTAGCAGGGCTCATTCACAGAGCTTTAAATTAGGTTGGAAGTAAGAGGGAGTTATAGCTGGGTACGAACTAGTGGGGCATTATTCTAGTATTAATGAAGACCAGAAGGCCTCCTGCCTCCCCAGGGTGCCACCAGCATGCTCAGCTGGCTCCCTGAAATGCCTGCACACCAATGCACACAGCATGGGGAGTAAACAGGAGGAGCTAGAGGTCTGTGTGCAGTCTAAGGGTTATGATCTGGTGGCAATTACAGAGACATGGTAGGACAGCTCACATGACTGGAATGAGGTCATGGATGGCTGTGTCCTTTTTAGGAAAGACAGGTCAGCAAAGCGAGGCGGTGGAGTTGCTCTTTATGTGAGAGAGCAGCTGGAATGTATTGAGTCCTGTCCAGGGCCTGATGAGGTAGCAGGTAGTAAAGGATCCGTGGTTGAGGATGCATTTATTTCACTATCCCAGTTCTCATGCTTGCTGCCACAGCCTCAGGACCTGTGCTTGAGGAGGCATGATCGAAACTCTGCAACTATTCTCATCACACATGGGCTATATTTCTATTGCAAAATTAACAGAAACAACAAAGCAAAAAGTAATAATTAAAAAAAAAAAAAAATAGCCAAATCCATGTGCAATCAACAGCCCAGCACCAAAAAACTGAGTGTGCAGGCCCCTCTGACACGGAGTAGCAGGGAGGTGCAGGACAAGGCATCTCCTTGCAGCATGTCCCACTTCTCTGATCCAGCCACAGCATCAGTGTACCAGCAGCAGCTCATAGCACACAGCCCTTTGCCCTGAGCAGGCTCCAGGTGCTGTCACGCCATAGGTGCCACTGAAGGCTCTGGAAGAGTTTTGGCAGAACAGGGAGGCCCTGTGTTTGCTCCTGGAATGCTCCTGTAGTCTTAACCCATGCCAGCAGGAGTGTGCTGGCTGCACTGACATTTGGTGTCCTTCAGATAAGCCATGCCTCTGAACTGGCAAGCCTGGCTGATTGTGTCTGCTTGGACACAGGTGGGGAGAGGTTTCCTCCTTGCTCCAGTCTGACCAGATGAACAAGAGTGTGCTCACAACACAACATGCATTTTTGAGGGCTGCTAAGCCCCAGATTACAAATCCAGAACATACTTTTGGGGCATATATAGCATTAGCTGCAGAGGACAAGCATTTCATTCAGTGTTCCTCAAAAGATGGGGAGAAAGAAGCACTGAAGACTCAAGAGGTATCTTAATCTCAAGGAACAAGATAAATACTCTTCCTCACAGAAGGGCAGATACATTTGCTTTTGTTCTTTACATTTACACAAACTGCTTAATTACCCTTGGGAGTAGGACAAGAAGATTCTGGTGCCCTCAGCACAAAAAAGACATGGAGCTGTTGGAGAGGGTCCAGAGAAGGGCCATAAGGATGATCAAAGGGCTGGAGCACCTCTGCTATGGAGACAGGCTGAGAGAGTTGGGGCTGTTCAGCCTGGAGAAGAGAAGGCTCCAGGGAGACCTTATAGCTCCTTCCAGTACTTGAAAGGGGCTACAGGGAAGATGGGAGGGATTTTCATCAGAGAGGGCAGTGATAGGACATGGGGTAATGGTTTTAAACTGAGAGAGAGGAGATTTACGTCAGATATTAGGAAGAAATTATTCACTATAAGTGTGGTGAGGAACTGGAATGGGTTGCCCAGGGAGGCTGTTGATGCCCCATTTCCTGGAGGTTTTTAAGGCCAGGTTGGACGAGTTTTTGTGCAGCCTGGTCTAGTGGTTGGGTTCCCTGCTCATGGCAGGGGGGCTGGAACTTGATGATCTTTAAGGTCCCTTCCAACTTTAATGATTCTATTATAAGATGGGGCAAAATGAGAATAATTTTCTTTGGTTTAAGCACCACCTGTAAACAAGGTGCTGAGGGGCATCTGTTGGCAATGGAAATATCTAAGCAATGAGCTGAAAAATGTGTACTGACCCTGCAGGAGAGAAACTGGAACATCCAGGATTTTGAGGGTCTAGCTGAGGTACTGTCTTATGCAAAGAGGAACGCCAGGCAGGTTGTATCCGACCTTCCTCCCGGGGACACCTAGAAGGAAATGGCCACGTTCCTGCTGGGTTAAGAGACAGGGTTGTGGCATATGCCTGGTTCTACTTTGCTTGTGCTACTGATAAGAAGCCAGCCTTCCTTGCATCCCCAAGCCCAGTTCTGCATCCCCTGTAAGATGCTGACCCCCTGTGGAAAGCTTTCAAGTTACACGTACGAGGCTGAGAGACCTGAGAGCATTAGTTCAGCACTGGGGAAAAGCAAGTTTTACTTCTCCCCAGGTATCTGGGACCACTTTTCCCTAC